ACCCCAATTCACTTTTGGCACCTACACATGAAATATTGCTTCTGAAAAATGGGGAAAAAAAGGTGCTGAACACTGGCTTTTATCCTGCTGCTCCTTTCCTGAAAAAATGTTTCTGATTGCTGAATTTGGAATACTGATACAAGAAGAAAGATTAATAATATCGCATCATGAAAATCTTTTTCTAACTAACTACATGAATATCTCAGAAAATGTATTAGAAACAGCAGCCAATTCTCAGAGGTAAAGGGGCAATAACTTATCTCTCCCTGCTTCTTCTAATTTTAAATCTAGAATTACAACACAACTCTATCAGAGGTAGCAGAAGGTCTGGCATAGGCTCTGGCTTCATGATTTTAGAATATGAATTTAACTCATCACAACTTTCAGAAGAATTTGCGTGACACAAAGTCACAAAAGAGGAGGCCCACTCACCTTCTGCACACGAGTGTTGATTGGAAGACAGATGAATCAGTTGATTACCACAGGAGAAGGTGAAGCCTAACCACACAACCAGCAATTAGGAGAGGACTTAGCCAAAGAACTTAAAAAATCTGATTGCAAAAGTATGTCATTTATAAAGTATACTACTTTTGAGTCTTCACTTAGTCCACCAAAAAAAGGTTCCTACACTAAAATCAGGATGCTACAGTAGAAAAAGAACCAACACAGACTATAATTGGCCAATATTTAAATATGAAGAAACCAATTCACGACTTTCATTTTTCATATGTGAGGAGTATTTATGAGCTTGGTGTTGACCTATTTGGCACAATTCAATTTCATTTTTTCAGCTATGCTTCAGTTCCACAGGGTATTGCCAAGAAATTTATCCAAAAAACTCCAGATTTTTCAGTGTCATTAGAGCTTAATGGATTTTTCTTAGTACTACTGCTAAACTGATAAAAGGGCAGGGGAGGGAATCTTACCCCACCCCACCCTTCCAAAACCTAATAAGACACTATTCTTTCAAAACAAGAAGACGGTAATGTTATAAATCTAGGAACAAAATAAGATGCTATGACAATACTTTTTCTTTTTAATTAACATTTGACTTTCCCATCTATAGCACTGCATATGTAGTTAAGCTTCGGGGAGGTAGGGAGGGAGGAAGGGAGGCAGAGATGGAAGGAGAGAAGAAACTCCAAAACCTCCTGACCAAGCAGCCGCTCTACTGCACGGACAGGGGCTCATTTCTTCCGCCAGCCATTGAGTCACAAAAATTTTTCCCCATTTAAAGAAGTATGCGTGAATGAGGCTGGGGAGAGCAGGAAGCACAACCAAGAAATGAACTACCGTCTTCTCTTTACAAACCCAGCCCTGTGTCCTCAGCGGCAACTGCCGTCATCCACCATCTTGGCATTCATAGCAAGCAACATCTTTCTTTCAGACTTTTCTTGTTCTTGCTGCTTTTCTTGCCATTCTTGTCTTTGTTTTCTGACATCTTCTTTGCTCTGATTTCTCTCATTAAGTCAAAGAACACCTGGGGGTGGGGAGGAAGAGGTGAAAAGGGTAGGGGAAAAAAGGCTATTTAACCATTTAATGAAACTATTCGAGTAAGCAGGATATGTAGTTATATTTTAAAGCGCAAAGCCAAACATTTTTATAAACCACATGCCAACAACAACAAAAGATCTAGAGCAGCAAATAAGAATAAAATAATCTTTAAAACATATTTTACTTATACAAAGTAAACATCTCTGCTCATATCATACAGCTGGTTCCCATAAGGACAGAATCGCCACACTGTTTCCTACCATTCCACGACTGGTTTCAAAATGATAAAATCTTTTCTTACGGTAAGTATGATGAAAAGTAAAACACATTTTGGCATAGAACAGACCAACAACAGTTTGTGAAATTTATAAACATCTGAGAGTCACTGAGCAATCAGACTTTCTAGCATTTCCAAACAGCAGAAAAGGGCTGCTAGGTGCTTTATACACCTCCATATCTTATTCAGTCCTTACAATGACCCTATAAAGGTTGGAACATCATTGTGCATGACAGCTTTCCCAGCATAACTCCACAACAGCACACCTGGGAACGTGGTAGGGTGGCAGAAGGAAGGAATAAAGCATAAACAAACTAAGGCTCCTGCACTATGAACCCGGGCAGAGGGAGGGGTGACCTGCCACAACATGTCTCCTGATGTAGAACCCCCTGCCCTAATTCTCAGGAACAATCACTCCTCCATTCTTTACGAAGTTAGCTAAGAGGAACTTTATCAAGAATTGATGAGACTTGTCCTTTGAATGTCAGTGTGTTGTTTAGATACAGATTATAATTTGTCACAGTAGTTTGGGTTTTGCCCTCTGCTACCAGCAATCACACCAGAGGACTGATTATACCCAAGCAGACAAAATGCGCCTCTTACAAAGAGACATCTGAGATCTCTCACAGAGAACAATGGAGACAAAGGGTGAGATCGAGCATAGACTTTTATCTTTGGACATTCACATAAAATCACAAGCTCCTATCTTCCACTTTCACAGACATATCTTCTCCTTGATGAAAAGCAAGATCCAGTTTCTGGAGTGTGGGACTCCACATGCATCTACCACCAGCTCCAGGCACAGAAAAGACCCTCCCACCCCCCTCAGCTGGATCAGACTGACCTAAGCACCCCTTTTCACCAGCCTCTCAGAAAAACACCTTGCCCATAACAGCAACAGTGAAAAGCTTCAAATGTCACAGGTTTTTCTTTTTGCTCTAACAGCAAAAGGCAAGAAGAGGGTAATGGAATGCGTCCAACTTAAAGTGATGACAGAGTTATTCACGGCTGATCGTATCACATCTTTCATGTAAACTGTTTACAAGTGAATACAATGCTGCCAGTCATAAGTTTCTGCTGGTTCCTGTTTGGCAGGTCAGGCTGGTCCAGTGGAGGAGTGGGAGATGATAAGCCGCTGTGCATAGCCCCCTCCGCACTCCCCCCATCCCATCCAAAAAATACACATTGACAGTTCCATGCCAAGAAAGTCTTCCCGATTTTTTTTAAATGAAGCATACATCTGTGTGTTTTCCACAGCTAGGAAATAATTTGATAGGAAGAAAGATTTTGAGTAGCACAAGAATAAACCTAAGAGTTGAGATAACAATACAAGAGAACGTAACTGACAAGTGAACACACTTGGTTGCAGACTACTACTAAACAGAGTTATGGTGTAGGTGCTGCCAAAGTGCTTCTGAAGTGAACCCCTTCTAATACCAACATTCTGAATACCAATATTCTTCCAGTATCACTTCAAGCTAAAGTAAAGCTTGGGTAAAAATCTCTCCCCCATCAGGTAAGAAGCAAAGGAGAATTATTTCTCCACGATAAAGAGAAACAGAAGAAGGGATTTGGGGAATTCAGATACTGATGCTACATAACACAGAGCGGACATGTCCACTGTCTTGGCTGCCGAAGTGATATGTCATTTAGACTTTACAAGAGCATGGGTCATGAAGTAAGTGCTAATGAGCAAGGTGAAGGCACAAAGCCTGCTCTTTAAGGCTATCTGTCTCAGCTGTGTGGCAACCACCTTGAACCTTAATTTTTTAATTAAAAAAAAAAGGCCTAGGGCCGGCCCCGTGGCGCACTGCGCTAGTGCACCGCTTGGGAAGCGCGGCGGTGCTCCCGTCAAGGGTTCGGATCCCACATACAGACCGGTTCCCGCTCACTGGCTGAGCGAGGCGCGGGGGCAACACCGAGGGTTGCGATCCCGGTCCCGGTCCGGTACGGGGGCAACACCGAGGGTTGCGATCCCGTTGCTGGTCCCGGTCCGGTATGGGGGCGACACTGAGGGTTGCGAACCGTTGCCGGACACGGAAAAAGACAAAAAAAAAAAGGCCTAATAATAGCAATCTCTGGTAGGTGGATTTTCATATTATCAGCATTGATTATTGTCAAGTTCAGTCTTAACATTAGCTTCAGAGATTTGAATGAGAAAGTAAGCTGGGGATGGGATAAGAGAGAAAAGAGATACCAGCGAGTTGATCCTGATGGCAAATACTGTTTAGAGACTAAACTATAAAGACAGAACACCTTGGCTCTGTCAGTGGACAGTAAGGTGAAAAGAATAAATCTAACAAATAACTCAGTGAGAATGAGATCAAGAGGCGCCATGTTTCTTTCAAGGCCACCTTTGGGGCAACCTTCTAAGAAGTAGCGTGACACTGCCAGCCCTGCTCCTCATGAGCAACAGGCTGTGGAAGAGAGCACAGGGAATTATGTCCGTCCTTCTAGCACAGTCTTCACAAACCAGTGGCCTCAGTTTGCCATCCTTCCAAGGACTGTGTCAACGGTAAGCATATTCGAATGAAGCTTCATTGCAAAGCAAAAGGACTCTGTGGGTTGTTTTAAGTACAGGGTCCCAGTGCTTCTCATTACAATGGCTTAGACATCCGGAGAAATCAGTCCTCACCTAGTTCCCATAAGTGGCTCCCACAAAAACAGACAAGTGAGATGTCTACCCTCTGCTATCCTCCAGGAACACATGGAGAGCGGGTGCCTACCTTGTCCACGTTGGCCCGCGTTTTCGCCGATGTCTCCACATACTGCACGCCCCACTCTTCGGCTTTACTCCTTGCCTCCTCGATGGGCACCTGCCTCCGCTCCTCTAAGTCGGACTTGTTTCCCACAACGAGCAATGGAATTTTATCTTCTTCAGCCTTAACACGGAGGATCTGTTCCCTGAGGTGTTACATCAAAAATACAGCAGCTAAGAAAGCTAGAGCAAGAAAAGAACCCCATTGTGTTGACGCATCTAAATAAAAGGCTTTCCTAAAGCAGAAGAAGAAATAGCTACACTTAGGGCATGTTCCAGGGACGCACTCCCCACAGGCAATTATAAACTAGACAAGTGTTTTCAAAGTCTGGTTCTCAGTTTGCCTGCATCAGAATCACCTGGGGTGCTCTTTACAAATGCAGACTTCTGGGCCCAACAGTCCTACAGAAGTAGATGTCTGGTTAGGAGCCCAGGATTCTGCATTCCAACAGGTCCCCAATTTATGCTTATGCACAAAAAGGAAAGGAAAAACCTGTGAATCTCTGAGATAAAATCAAGCTAAAATAGAAGTATCTCCATAAAATGTTTAAAAAATCTCCAGAAAAAAATGGTATAATTTATTGGTGACAGTAAAAGCTATGAAATCCAGTGTTTTTCATATGGAAGGTGGCAGCCTCTTAGCAGATTGGTGGGTCACAACCAGCAGTTGTTTTTTTCCCCTCAGTGAAATAGAATATTATAGAAAGGGATAGAACAGAACAAAAACATGCAAGGGAATCTCAAGTAGTAAAGGTAAGTATTGTTTTATGAAATTTCTGGGTTTTTTTTCCACAAAAACATGCAAGGGAATCTCAAGTAGTAAAGGTAAGTATTGTTTTATGAAATTTCTGGGGTTTTTTTCCCCTTTTTGTCTTTTTTTGTGACCGGCAACAGATCGCAACCCTCAGTGTTGCGCCCATACCGGACCGGGACTGGCAACAGGATCGCAACCCTGGGCGTTGCTCCCGCACCTCGCTCAGCCAGTGAGCAGGAACCGGTCTGTATGTGGGATCCAGACCCTCGGCGGGAGCGCTGCCACACTTCACAATCGGCGCACTGTAGCAGTGCGCCACCGGGCCGGCCCGAAATTTCTGTTTATTAGATCTGCATGTGTGTATCCAAGCCACCTCCCCCTGCTAAACAGTTTCCATTTAGACACAATAAATGTTGCAGGCAACAGAATGGGGACAAATATATTAGGCAGTAATCATATTTCAATGCCATTATTTTTCTACTACAATGTGAAAAAAAACTAAAGAAAATAGTCCAAAGCTGATGGATATATGTTCTTCGAAAACATCATCTCTAAAAAAACCATTACCTACAGAACATTACATTTTACCTCTACTAAAAATATCAGCTATCTGAAAGTATTCATCAAAACCAAATAGTAAACTAATTAAATTAAATATTTCACTTCCATTATTTTGGTCCAGTGGGGACATTTCTACTTAAGAGTCTCTTTCAAAAATGTATTTTGTGGAGATCTGCACTGATTATTTTTTTTTATGATATAAGCTAACATTTCACAATAATAAAAATAATTCTTTAATTTCTTTATAGTCAATTTAAGTACCAGATATCAAATATTTTAGGACAAATGAAAAGGAAGAAAAGATGCTTAAAAATTGCCTCTACTTAGCTTTTTTGTATCCTACATTTGAATAGGGGTCAAAGAACGTGATACATTTATAAATTATGTGATCAATATAAACTATGAACAATAGAAATTGATAGCTTGCTGGCTCAAAGTCTTGCAAGGGCATGTAAAAGTGTCTCGTTAATGAACATACTGATCCAAAAATGGGAATATCGGGCCGGCCCGGTGGCGCACTGGAGAGTGCACCGTTTGGGAGCGCGGCGGCGCTCCCGCGGAGGGTTCGGATCCCATGTGGAGACCGGTTCCCCGCTCACTGGCTGAGCGCGGTGCGGGCGCAACACCGAGGGTTGTGATCCCGTTGCCGGTTCCTGGTACGGGCGCGACACCGAGGGTTGCAATCCCGTTACCGGTCAGTAAAAAAGATAAAAAGGAAAAAAAAAATGGGAATATCAAGTTCTGGTCTCTTGTGACAAGCCTATTTATCTCAGTCCACGGTATACGGTCTAGGAAAATTTCAAGGAAGATAAGAGTATATTAACATTTCATTCTATGTTGGGGCCTTTCCATTTGGAAGATAATTACAGAAATGTTATGTTCTAAAACTGCTAACAGGCATAAAGTGACTAAGTTTAACCACAAGGGTCCAGATAATCCACCTCCACTCTTCTGTTTCCAGTGACATGAGAAACCTCACCAGCTCTGGGACTTTTACCTGAGTCCAGAGTTCAAGTCAGAAGAACTAACTTCCCCTTCATTCTTTTTGTTTTAGGTATTCATCTGTTCTTGTCCTCTAAGGATCCCTCTTCTCACATACCAACCAAAACCCTTTTCCAAGATGAGGTGAGACTGCTCTGACCCTATGAGAGTGCACAAATATTATCTCTGTGTGCATTTGATGATCGGGGGGATAAGACAACCGGCAGTGTCTATCCTCTGGAGATGAGTTCTACTGCCCAGCACTTCCCTTCTTGGTGAGTCATGGAGCTATGGGAAATCAAAATGCTCAGGACAAGGAAGAAAATAAGACAGTCTGTCCTATTTTATCCTCGAGGCATAAGAACAGGATTATGTAGATGCAAACACAATTATAAATACATGGGCTATATTCAAATATAGAAATCTCTAGGTATGTCTGAAAAGTCTAAAAATTAACAGGACTTCCCATAATGAGTCCTAGTCATCTAATTGATCACCGTAACACACACTATACACTATACTTCCAGAGAACTGTGATACTCGATTCTTTGAAGACTGGGAACTGTGAAGCGTGACAACTCAGGCACCGCCTTGCTGCCTTCCACTCGCTCTGTGGGTTTTGCCTGAGCTCACTCCGAGGCCCCCCTGGCTCACTGATGCTTCCTTCTGCATCATGGGGGGTATTTAGCCTCCTCATTCCCACCTTTGGCTGATCACCTTACTTTCTGACCAGAACTTGCTGAAGAATAAAAAAAAAATTACTGGTTTTTGTTTTGTTCCCTCTTTAATTCCCTATTAGGCTCTAGATCTGCTTCTTAAAATAAAAAGTCATCTGAACAGATATGTTTTTAAGGAAAAGAGATGGAAAAATATAATTGTGCAAGAGAAATGGGAAGGATATAGGGTAAAGAGAAAGTTACAGGAGATAAGAAATACGCCTAAAAGCCTCATTATTTCTTTATAACAAAATAAAAAGTCATCTGAACAGATATGTTTTTAAGGAAAAGAGATGGAAAAATATAATTGTGTAAGAGAAATGGGAAGGATATAGGGTAAAGAGAAAGTTACAGGAGATAAGAAATACGCCTAAAAGCCTCATTATTTCTTTATAACGAAGTGACCTTAAGCATTTTTAACTGCCACATTTTAAAACAAAGTATAACAGTGAATGTTCTCCTCACTGTGGAAGTACCACCGGCTGACACTGTGTGAGGGCCCAGGGACACAAGGACGGGTGGCTACCATTCCTACCTGTATGGAATTCACAGTCTACTGCATCATTTAATTTCAATTCTCAACTAACAAGTGCATTTTCAGAAAAAGAAACAGAATTTCTGATGCTCAGTAAACTTGCCCATGGTTACAAAGCCAGTAAGTGGCAGAACAGGTATTCAAACCAGATCTATCTGATTCTAAAGCCAGTTCCTTCCCCTCCACTATGCTGAACGTCTTTACAGCAGCAGCAAATGGTCATTCTGACTCCCTTCTTTCACTCTCCTGCCAATGTTTCATAAACCTCAAAATAGATAAAAATTATTACCTTTTTAAGTAAAATTATAAAAAAGATTAAGATAGTTAACTCTTATCAATCACTGCCTCTCAGGCAAAAACTACAGGTTCTTGAGTATATAGAATTGCTTTATCCTCTTTCAAAGACAACAAGCTTTTTAAGAAAATTTATATTTAGACATCATAAAACAGGGAAGCTCAAAGAGATTACATTCATGTGCCAAGATCCAGAAAGACCCAGAAAATTCTTTAGACAAAATTTTTCCTAATAACAAGCTCAGCCCTATACCACTATGCTCAGCCCCAAATTCCCTTCTAAGCCTAAAACATATGAGAAAGGAAGGCAAAAAGCCTCCTGGAGCTTCAGTTTTTCCATTTCAAACACACCTGAATTCAGCAGTCGCTGTGAAGGATTCGTGTTCTGTAATTGAGAACACTAGCAGAAAACCTTCCCCACTCCGAAAGTAGTTGTCTCGAATGGCTGCATAGTCCTCCTGTCCAGCAGTGTCCAGAATATCTATCTGGACCTCCTCTCCATCAAGAACCACTTTCTTTCTGTAACTGTCAGCTTTGGTAGGTTCATAGTCTTCTACAAACTGAGGAAATAAACATTACCAGTAATTAACGAAGTTGTAAGTAATTAACAAAAATTCTTAAGTTTTAAAATCTGCCAAAACATAAAATTTGATAAATGGGTAGTTTGCCTACATTCAATTGAGTATTTGAGTGCCTATATCACACTATGTATAAGGAACTATAAAATGAAAATAACACTTTATGTAACACTTCAGTTCCCTATAGCTCTCAGTTCTACCATTTTTTATTTTGCTTTTAAACAATCAGGACAGATATCCCCATTTTACAGATTAGGAAACCAGGCACAGAGCAGAACACTTGACAATATTATAGTCAGTACAAAATTATAATACAAACACAGGAAAGGAGGGCAAGAAACAGGAGTTCCTATTCATAATCAATAGAAGTATAAAACTCATCTGAAAAGTAGTTTGACAAAAGGCTTAAATAACTATATAGCATGATAAACTCCAAATGGGTCAAAGATTAAATGTAAAAAATAAAACCACTGAAGTATTAGAAGAAAATGTGGGTGAAATACTTCTACTGCTTTGAAGTAGGAAAGGCCTTCTTAACTATGATTCAAAATCCAGAAGCCATGTAAAAAAAAAAATTGAATACTACATAAAAAAATAAAAAAACCTTCTGTATGGCATAATATAATGAACAAAGACAAATGACAGAGAAAAAATATCTGAACACATATTACAAAGAGCTAATCTCTAATATATAAAGAGTTCCTAGAAACGGGGGGGGGGGGGGGGGGGAAGGTCAATAATCCAATGGGAAAAGTAGGCAGCAGACATAAATAATTCATAGAAACATAAATACACATGATGCTAAAAATGCAAAGATGTGTTCATCCTCACTAATACAGAAAATTAAAATTAAAACTACATTGAGACACTATTTTCACCTACCAGACTGGCAAAAATCCAAAAGTCTGACAACGTACTCCGAGAAAAGGCACTCTGTACACTGCTGTTGGGAGTAGGGAATAGGATAACCCCTACGGAGAGAAATTTGGTAACATCTGATAAAATGAGAGAAGCGCTTAACCTCTGTCCCAGCCATCCTGCTTCTAGGAATCTAATCTACAGAAACACCTACACAAGAACACACAAGGTAACTGACACTGTGTGTAATAGCAAAAGATTAAACACCTCCCAAATGCTCAGCAATGGGGATTCACATAATGGAATGCTACGCTATTACAAAAAATGAGGAAGATAGGGGCTGGCCCGGTGGCGCACTGGATAAGTGCGCCGCTTGGGAAGCGCGGCGGCGCTCCCGCCCGAGGGTTCGGATCCCACATACAGACCGGTTCCCGCTCACTGGCTGAGCGAGGCGCGGGAGCAACACCGAGGGTTGCAATCCCGTTGCCGGTCCCCGGTCCGGTACGGGGGCGACACTGAGGGTTGCGATCCGTTGCCGGACACGGAAAAAGACAAAAGACAAAAAAAAACAAAAAAATGAGGAAGATAGGGGCTGGCCCGGTGGCGCACTGGATAAGTGCGCCGCTTGGGAAGCGCGGCGGCGCTCCCGCCCGAGGGTTCGGATCCCACATACAGACCGGTTCCCGCTCACTGGCTGAGCGAGGCGCGGGAGCAACACCGAGGGTTGCAATCCCGTTGCCGGTCCCCGGTCCGGTACGGGGGCGACACTGAGGGTTGCGATCCGTTGCCGGACACGGAAAAAGACAAAAGACAAAAAAAAACAAAAAAATGAGGAAGATAATGACATACAGATATGTAGAGATCTCCAGAATATATGTACAGATATGTAGAGATCTCCTTTTTATAATACCACGCTCTGACCAACTGATTATTGCTTTTGCATAAGGAAAGTAGGGAGAGTAAAGAATAAGTTTTAAATATACATTTTATATATATATATAAATATATATATATGTGTATTATGTACCTGCCAAAAGAACACCCTGGAAGGACAAACAAAACAAACTTAAAACTGTTAGAAATACTGAAACAAATGAGCCTAACTGAATATTAAATTGGTAATGAAGCCACATAGAAAAATAATTTAATTAATTCAGAAGACTTTATTTGTTTTGTTTTGGTTTTTTTTATTTTGGCAGCTGGCAGGTACAGGGATCTGAACTTGTGACCTTGGTGTTAAAAGGCTATGCTCTAACCAAATGAGCTAACCGGCCAGCCTAATTCAAAAGACCTTAGAACAAAGTATTTTGGTAGAATGCATCCCACTTAAAAAGGCTCAGAACAAAACATTTCAAAGAAATGCTGAACTTCTTTCAGCGGTTATATTATTTAATAATAATAATATTAGTACTTTAAAGCTACTTTCTTTATATTATGTTATATATCAAATAAGTAATCTTAATGAAGCTAGAAATCAAGAAATTCAGAAAAAGTAAATTAATGACAATATACAATTAAAATTGAACTGTTGCTGGTACAACTGGATATCCATATTCAAAAGAATGAAGTTGAACCCCTACTTCATACCACATGCAAAAATTAATTCAAAATGGGTCAAAGACCTAAATTTAGGAGATAAAACTATAAAATCTTAGGAGAAAAGACAAGCATAAACCTTCATTTCATGACCTTGGATTTAGCAATGGATTCTTAGATATGAACCCAAAAGTACACGCTCAACAAACAGAAAATAGATAAATTACATTGCACCGAAATTAAAAACTTTCATGCTTCAAAGAACACCATCAAGAAAATGAAAAGACAACCCAGAGAATGGGAGAGTATATTTGTAAACATGTCTAATAAGGGACTTGTATCCAGAATGCATAAAGAACTCTTAAAACTAAAAATAAAGACAAATTACCCAATTAAAAAATAGATAAAGGATCTGAATAGACACCTCTCCAAAGAAGATATACAAAAATGGCCAATAAGCCCATGAAAAGATGCTCAGCATCACTGGTCATTAGGGAAATGCAAATCAAAACCACAATGAGATCCCACTTCACTACCACCAGGGTGGCTATAATCAAAAAGATGGACAGTAACAAGTGTTGACAAGGATGTGGAGAAATTCGCACCCTCATATATTGGTGGTAGGACTGTAAAATGGTGCAGCTCTGGTAGAAAAGAGTTTTGTTGTTCCTCAAAGAGTTATACAGAGTTACCATATGCCCCAACAATTTCATGCCTAGGTATATACCCAGGAGAATTTAAGACATATGTCTACCCCAAAACTTGTACACAATATTCATAGCAACATTATTCATAATAGCCAAAAAGCAGAAACCCAAATGTCCATCAGTTGGTGAGTGGAGAGACAAAATGTGGCATATCCAGACAACGGTATGTTACTCATTCATAAAAAGGAATGAAGTACCAATTCATGCTACAATATATATGAACCCTGACAGATTATGGTAAGGAAAAGAAGCCAGACACAGAAGGCCACATATTGTATGAGCCTATTTACATAAAATGTCCAGAATAGAGAAATCCCTGGAGACACAAAGTAGATTCATGGTTCCCTGCACTGAGGGGAAGGACTGAGGGAAGTGACTGCTAATCGGTATGGGGTTTCTTTTTGCGTGATGAAAATATTCTTGAATTAGTTGTACAAACTTATGACTGTACTAAAACCACTGCATTATACACATTAAAGGGACAATTTTTTTTTTTATAAAGATGACGAGTGAGGTGATCTTAACCCTTGACTTGGTGTTGTCAGCACCACGCTCACCCAGTAAGCTAACCAGCCATCCCTATATGGGATCCGAACCTGTGGCCTTGCTGTTATCAGCACTACACTCTCCTGAGTGAGCCACGGGTTATGGTATGTGAATTATATCTCAATTTTTTGAAAAAGGAATGAAGTGCTGATATAGCTGCACTATGCATGAACTTTCAAAACGCTGTGCTAAGTGAAAGAGACCAGACATAAAGACCACACGTGGGATATTTCCATTTAAATGAAATGTCCAAAGTAAGCAAATCCATAGCAACAGAAAGTGGTTACCAGAACCAGTGGTGAGACAGGGGAAGAAGTAATGGGGAATGGCTGCCAACACATGGCTAGCCAGTACGGGGATCCGACCTCTTGACCTTGTTATAATACCACGCTCTAACCAACTGATTATTGCTTTTTTTTTTGAGTGATAAAAATGATCTAAAAATTAGAAAATGGTGATGGTTTTCATATCTGTATGAATATACATAAAAAACCCCGAATTGTACACTTTAAAAGAGTGAATTTCATGTATATGAATTATAACTTAATAAAGCTGTAATTTAACTTATTTGTATTTTAAAAATTGAATTGAAAAAATATCGATATATTGGGCCGGCCCATGGCTCATTTGGGAGAGTGTGGTGCTAATAACACCAAGGCCACGGGTTCAGATCCCTATATAGGGATGGCCAGTTAGCTCACTTGGGAGAGCGTGGTGCTGACAACACCAAGTCAAGGGTAAAGATCCCCTTACCGGTCATCTTTTTAAAAATAATAAAAATAAATAAAAATAAAAAATATCAATATAAACTTAAGGGTTGTTTGAGGAATTCTATTAAAAAGAGCCTCATAGGGCCGGCCCGGTGGCGCACTGCTACAGTGCGCCGCTTGGGAGTGCGGCGAAAAGGGTTTGGATCCCACATACAGACCGGCTGCTCACTGGCTGAGCGAGGTATGGGCGCAACACCGAGGGTTGCGATCCCGTTGCCAGTCCCGGTCCGGTACGGGCGCGACACTGAGGGTTGCGATCTGTTGCCGGTCACGAAAAAAGACAAAAAGGAAAAAAAAAAAAAAAAAAAAGAGCCTCATACAATTGACAGCTACTAATTTGAATGATTTTAAATCTAAAAATAAAAATACTATGACATGTTTAGTATTAGGTTCCCTTAAATGTGCACTAATAAATTATCTTCAAATAGAGAAAATGTGAAAACTTGCCTATGCTTCACAACAGTATTCTTCTAATTCCTTTTCAAAGAAACAAATACATGACCCAAAAAAGCCTTCCTCCCAAAACACCACCACCCCTGAAAATCTCTGAATTCTACCATAAATCATCTCAACTGCGTATTTCTGAGCTGCCAAGAGTAAAATCAGCCAGTGTTCCATTGATTCCGATAGAAGTCAGAATGTCCTGATATGCCCACATACCTCTGCCCTAAGTGAAAAATGTGCTTATTATTAGAACACTTTTATTATTAGAATGGGAGAGTGTATTTGTAACCATACATCTAATAAGGGACTTATATCCAGAATATATGAAGAACTCTTAAAACTAAACAAAAAGACAACCCAATTAAAAAATAGGTAAAAGATCTGAATAGACACTTCCATTACAACCCTAATGTTTATATTTTTCAGCTAGAAATACAAAATTACCAAAGTCTTTGCATCCTTTAAGATCAACCATTCTTAGTCTCTACTGGCCTTGCAGGGCGACATGTGATTCATTTTCAGATGCTCAAGACACACAGGCCTAAGCAAAACTTCACCCTGACCCCTTCTTACTGAGCCGTGTTTAAGGTGACTCTGCCATAGACTGAAAGTCTCAAGTAGCTGCTGATGAAGCCTCCCCCATCCCCAATCTCACTTTCCCAGAAAAAAAATAATAAAAGTCTTCAAGTATGTTAGGCCAAGGATAAAAAGGTTAAAATCTCCAATTGCCATGGCACTGGCAGTTCCCTCCAATTTTTCTCAAAGTCAGAACTTAGAAAAGAATAAAAACTCCTGGGACTGTGACTCCTTCCACAATGCAATTTTCATGAAAAGTCCATCATATAAGCTAAAGCAAATTTTAACCTAAGGGTAAGCATTGGACCACGAACAAAGAGTTTGGCCCACAAGACTTTAGGCAACCAGCATCCCGGAGTATAAGACTCAGTTTCCTCTGCTATGAAATCAGGTTTGAATAGATCTCTCAGGCAGGAGTTACCATACCTGGCCACATGCCAGAACCACCAGGAGAGTGTCACAAAAATAAAGAGTCCCAGTTCTCAACTCCAGAAATGTTATTGAGGAGGTATTTTTTAAAAAGGTTACCTAGGAGATTCTATGATCAGTTAGGTTTGGAAATTGCTGCCAAGGTCTCTTCGAGCTCCAAAATTATGATTCTAGAACTATCCTGGTCCACTATAATAGCCACTGGCCACATTTCAAGTGTTCAATAGCCACGTGTAATTCTAATCCTATCTTGCTAATCCTAATTTCCCTCCTCACCCTCTTTTCCCCAGCCTCTCTTACAAAAGAAAAATAAGAAACCTTTAGTAAGTAAGTTAAAGTTATTAAACAGGTTATGATTCTAAAATATCCTGTCCAACACAGTAGCCACATTTCAAGTGCACAATAGCCACACTTACTGAACAGTCTATAGAACATTTTCCTAACCGGAGAAAGTTCTATTAGACAGCAGTGTTTTAGAAAATAAATTAAATACTCTCCCAAACACACATCATTTCATTTCCATTCTTTCCTTGCCGTCATTTTATTTTACTATTTCTTCAACAACTGCTGCTTTTCAATCCTCGAATACGTTAGCCCATGAGAAAAATAGACTAAGGTCAAGCACAGCTTTCCTATTTCTTGTGAAGAAACTAGGAAGAAGAGAAAACATTCTTGACTCTTCTGCATGCATCTTTTCCCCTCCCTCCTGTCACACACACACACACACACAAACACACACACACACACACACAGAGCAAAAATGAACCATCCAGAACAGGCTGTCCTCATCTCCTATGGTGTCGGCAGCACTACTGAGCAGAACGGAGTCCCAGAGTAGAGTTGGGCTCTGTATCTGAACTTGCTCTTGGATCTGGCATCCTGGGGCCTCTCAGTCACCTACACTGGAGGGAAATCTTCCCTCTTCTGATTGGTTACAGCTCTGCTTCTAATTGAGGGTTTCTCAGCAACACTGCTATCGATATTCTATTCTGGATGATTCTTTGTTGTGGGCCTGTCTTGTGGGGTGCAGGATGTTTAGCAGCATCCCTGGCTTCTATCACTAGATGCTAATGGTGCCCTCCTCGCAGTGTGACAACCAGAAATATCCCCAGACATTGTCAAATATTCCCTGGGGAGACAAAATCTCCCTCCTCTGCCTCTGTTAACAACTACTTCTCTCAATCCATCTCCCTAAACCTAGTACCCTCTTCACTCTCTTTTCCCCAAGCTCTGTTATGGAAGAAAAACAAGGAAATTTTAGTAAGCAAATCACAAGTTAATAAGCAAAAGAAAATGAAAACTCAGAAACAAACAAAAAAGATTCCCAGAACAGACTTCTCAACTTGCCTCTCTTTTTTTATGCAAAAACGTTTTGAGTAAATTCAGCAGGTTACGCTAGAGATACTCACTTTGGCTCTGAGTATGAGATTTTTTTTAAAAAGGAGGCACCAAATATAAAAGCTTCTCATTATAAGACATAGGGTAGTATGACCCAGGAGATCCACGTTTCGGTTTGAAGCTTATTCATTTTGGGGGCCCCTCCTTAAGAATACAAAGTTAAACATATAATATTAGATACAAAAATGAATATTTATCTAGAATGAGAAAAGAAAGCATAATCCATTATAAAGTTTTAAAGACATAAATACTGTGATGAACACACTGTCCCTTGGATGACCCTCAGCAAGCAAGCCAGGCGGTTGGATACTGCCCTCCTCTCGAATGCAGACAGACCTGGGACTGGCTTTGAACTAACAGAATATAGCAGCAATGCAGGATTACTCTCATGATTCCATTTCTTTATACCAGACTCTGTCTTAGCTGACTGGAGACTGGAGCCTCTCCTGCTGGCCTTGAAGGAATAAGCTGCCATGGTATGAACCACCTATGGAGAGGGCCATGTGGCAAGAAAGTGCAGGAGCCCTGTAGAAGCTGAGGGCCCATGACCTACATCCACAAGGAACTGAACTCTGCCACCAGGGAGCTTGGAAGAGAACCCTGAGCCTCAGATGGGATCACAGCCATCACTGACACCTCAACTGGAGCACTGTGGGACCCTGAACAGAGGACCTAGCTAAGCCATGCTCTAACTTCTCACCTGTGCAAACTATGAGATAATATGTTGCTTTTGTTATGTTTTATTTTTGGTGGCTGGCCAGCCCTTGACCTTAGTGTTACCAACACCTCACTCTAACCAACAGAGCTAACCGGCCCGCCCCAATAAATGTATTTTGTTTTAATCTGCTAAATTTGTGGTCATTTGTTACACAGCAATAGAAAATTAATACTAATACCACTGACATCACAAAATCCAGCAAAATAACACAATAGTTTTATTAATTAACTGCCTGACATACCTCTAGCACACCCTCTACTTCTTTTTTTTGTTTGCTATATACTCGTTATCTTGTCATATGCCAATTGTTTTGAATTATTTCCCATAGAGAATAAAAAATAATTTAGTCTTTCCTCTATCATAGTAGATGGAAATTTCTCTTTGCATTGATAGTTCAAAAATGTTTTTTCAGCTTCACAACTATATGATATTACTAGTAATGAAAGTTTTAAGACTACTGTCAAATTTAAGAAACTGGCCAGACTTCTTTGTAAGAAGCTGTAAGATCTGGAAGAACTTTCTGGACCAATATCTGGCTCCATAAGTTTCAACCCTTGTTTCTCCTCCACTGCCCACACATTTGCAGTGTCAGGTGCCATAGGACACGTTCATACCAGGATCCACCCCAGCCCTACACCTCACATCATAATGCCACCGAGTCAGCACAGCGGGTGGTAAGAATATTCCTACAGCTAACCATAACTTAACTATACAATAAAGGGACTGCAAACTATATGAATAGGTACCACCATCCCCCTACTAACCCTGTCCCTAATTCAACTGCCCTTAGGCTAGATGCCAAAAATGCCCATGCCACCTCAAAAACACCCAACATAAGAGAAAGTGGGACAGAGGGAAAGGCTAGTGAAAAGTGATAGTGATCTCAACCGACTGCAGTTACGATACCTTTCGCAAGTTCCATAAAGCGCGTATCTGTGTGGCTGCAATGCAGTGAGAGGCCTAAGTTTAAGCTCCACTCTGAGCACTCTCCTGCCTGCAGTATCAGCAAATGGCCATCAAGCAAGGAAATTTGTTGTCACAGGAATCAAAGCTGTGTTGTCACTGGACTCAACACCAGTCGCGTTATCCACATTATGTGATGTCAGTTTTGGGCAAGCATGGCAAAAGCTTTACCTTCTGCATGGGCGAACCAGAGAGAACCTGATATCTATCACTTGGGAAAAGATTAAGTTATCATGATAACTCAGCTCCCCTTTCACTCTCTCCCAAAATTGACTAGTCACAATGCTAAATGTCTGACATGTTCTTTAGAAATACCTGTACAAAGGCCCCTCTATCCTCCCTTGCTCCGGTCAGAAAGCTCAAAGTATAATAATGGAAATAATGTGAGCAGAGACCCCTCACATCCCTGCCAGAGTTGAAATTACTTACCTACAATCAGCAATACAGATCTTATGCTGGTTAGACAACCCCCAGCAAGCTATTCAGAAACCACCTTAACATGGATTGGCTCCATGAACCCCTATGCATACGGGGGGGACAGGCATAGAAACACAGCTGGAGCAGGGACATAGCCACAGCAAATGCAATCATGAAGGCAGTCTGTACCTGGTGTCTTACCTCGTCATACATGAACTGAAGAGTCAGGGCCGACTTGCCAACCCCTCCACTGCCAACCATGATCACCTTGTGAAGGGCCAAGGAGCTCTGGCTCTTACTCTTGTTTGCAGCCATCCTGCTGGTTTTCTGAGGTTGTGAAACACGGATAGAAGACCCAGTTTGAAGAACTGCTGATGACAAAGACAAAGACTTAGAGGGAGTTTGCTTTTTACCCAGGTGAAATCAAATGACATTCATAGCCCCTGGAAAAGCCTAACCCGGACATTCCAACAGAGTAGTACTTCTTCTAGGCTCCAGGCAGAGATGAAAGCCCTCCAACAACTCTGAGAGTCACTGACCCCAGCAGAGCCAGGGCCAGAGCAAAGCCAAGACAAGAGAGAAGAAATGGGAACACACGTGCCATGCTTGTACCACTGGGGAGGGTGGAGAGGACGCCCCATCACTGAAAGTCCATACGCCCTCGACAGGGCTTCACCGAGCCAGAGTGACCAAACAGCTCCAAGTGCCATTTCTTCCCTCCACCGCAAGTCACATGGTGTCACGAAACAGCTCGAGAACTTCACTCTCCAGCTCTTTACTCTCTCTCCTCTCCTTGCCCTTATACCTCTACCTCCCAACACACACACACACACATTACACGCGCACACATTACACATGCGCACACATTACATATGCACACACATACACGTGTACACGCTCTCACACTGCCCTCCGTGAGGATTAAGGAGGTGAGCTGGAAAGGCATCAGTAAATGTATTTTTTATAAGTACCTCTTCGTGACACATGACAGAGTTAAAAGAAGGAGACATAAATTATTTACTCCAGGCTTACCTGAAGTAATGAACTAAAATGAGTTAAACTTTTCTAAAATAACCTATTAGTCAAAATCAGTTTACACTCATCAGAAGTAAGATAAAATGAGCAGAGCAAACCTGGCATTGTGGGAAGGCAAAGCTTTCCAAGTAAGTAAATATAACAGCTATCTAGAACCTATTCTGACCCAAGTGCCAATGTTTATGTTAAGCAATTTGTATGGGAAGATCTCTGTTTCACATATACCACAAAGAAAGGAAAAAGGATGGGGCTTGGGCATCTTGTGGTCCCACGTTTGCTTCTTCCACTTGTGAGAGGTGTGACCTAGAACTAGTTATTCACTTTCTCTAGGTTTTCTTACCTGCAAAGACAAGTAAACTACCACCACCTTGCAGGAGTTATTACGCCTACAGTCCTGGGTTGTTGCTGTTCTTGGTGATTTAGGATTAAACGCACATACAGGGCTAGGAGATGAGACACCCGCACAAGGTAGGAATTAGAATCGGCACAGCTTCTCAACTGAGAATTGAGAAGTCAAGATCCCCGAAGGAGCGCACCTCCAGGTGAAGAACAGACTAGAAAAACACCCGTCCACCTATAGAGGAACTTGACAAGGAAGCCGGGCCTGGGCCCCAGCAGTAAGAAGTCTCCCGTTAAAATCTGTAACCACAACAATCCTCCAAAGCCAAAAAGCTAACATGAAAAGTGGTCCCAGGATGGTGGGAGCGCTGCAGCCCCAGGCAGAGAGCTAAACAAAACCTCTCTGGGGGGACAACATGCAACAAAGACCACTCAGGAGTGTCACAGCTAAAGCCCACAAGTACAACTCCCGAAACACATAAGGAAATTGCCATACATGAGAGTCAACATACGTAACAAGTAGGACTTTTCAAACAGACATTATAATAAAAAGTACTGGATAGCTGGTTGGCTCAGTTGGTTAGAGCATGGTGCTGATAACACCAAGGTCCAGCGTTCGTTCCCTGTACCAGTCAGCCGCCACAGAAAAAAATAAAAGTATTTGATCAATTTTAATGAAGACAAAAGCAAAATGTGAGAAAAATTATTCAAGATGGAGGTGAACAAGAACCATTCTGAATGCCTAAAGTATTTTTTAACTACATGAAAAGTAAGGATGCTCAGTATCAAATTTACAAAATACACAAAAACAATCTCTAAAAAAGAAAACAGCACCTGTGATCCTGCCACCCACAGACACTTACTATCAACTGTATATCTGCCAGTATTTTGATCTATATATTCCTATATTTAAAACCTGTTTGAGATCATTTTTATGTCATTTTGCAAGTTATTTTTCATGCATATCTGTCTTCTGAAACAGCACACACTGAACGCCATTAAGCCTTTTCTTGCTGATTTAAGGGTCAGCAGAGTGCACATCAGTAGTGAGTGGCCTGGGGCTGCTATGAATCCAGATCATAGCCTTCTCCCCCCTTACACTTGACCCTCAGTTTACCTGTCTCCACCAGCATTCTTTCCACTCCCCCTTTGCTAATTGTGTGCTTTTTAATAAGTGAACTAAGCAATTAACTAGATAATTAAGCACATTTGAATTGTGACTAAAATAGAATAAATGGGATAAGGGGCTGACCTCCCCAAAGAGCTTCAGTTCAGGAATGTGAAACTACTTTTGGCCTCACTTCTGGTACACAGCCGTTTCCTATAGAGGGAGGGTGAAAGTGACCCTCACGCAGGTCTGTGAGCTAGGTAACCGGCAAACAGGTCCTTGGAAGCCATAGGTTGGAAAGCATGGCCTCTTGGTGCAGTGGCCACCTAAGGCAGTAAACGCCAGCCAAAGTGGTGGCGCCACCCATGCTCACTAACTCCACCCACACACAACATATTCACAAAGAATGCACCGCACCACCCCCAACCTGCCCCGAGGTGAGGGGGCCTGATTAAATTATTCTATTTTCCCAACCATCCACCCCTTCAGGGTCTCTCCCTGTACAATCTATACGTTCAGAATATTCCCCAATGTTCCCTTAGCGAGGATAAACGACCCTTACATTCACATATTACACATTCCATCCCAGTCCCAAAACTCTTTAGCTTGTCGCAGCACCAACTCAAAAGTCCAAAGTCTTATCTGAGACCAAAAGGCAAAACTCCTTTCAGTCGTGAACCCATAAAGAGTCAAAAAACAAGTTTATCTACTTCCAAGATACAGTGGGACAGACATTGGGTGCACATTCCCATTCCAGAAGGGAGGAATAGAAAGGAAAAACAGTCCCCAAACAAATCCAAAACCCAAACAGGGTAAACTTTAAGCACACTGGGGCACCTAGACCCCTAAAGCGTTGGGCAACCTCGCTCTTACAGCTCTGCCAAGTGCAGCCCATTGAGCTGCCCAGTGCCTGTGGCTTTTCCAGGCTGATGCTGCACATTGCCAGCAGCCCCACAGTTCTGGGCTCCTGATGGCAGACCCACCATCCTGGCTCCACTAGACATTTCCTCAGTGGGGGTTCTCTGAGGGGCTCCAACCCCATTTTTCTGCTCCATGTTGTTCTAGTAGAGGACCTCTGCAGCAGCTCCACCCCTGCAGCAGGTCTCCACCTGAGTCCCCCAGCTTTTTCATACATCTTCCAAAATCTAGGTGGAGGCTGCCATGCCTCCACTGCTCTCACATACTGCTGGCCTGCAAACTTAACACAACATGAATACCACCACGGTTTTCGGCTTTTGCTCTTCAGAGGTGCTGAGACAGGAATTGCTCCAGCAAGAGCGGTGGGGATGTGGGGAGCAGTTTGCCGAGGGCAGCAGTGCCCCAGGTCTGTCCTCTGGGACAACTCAGTTCTCCTAGGCCTCAGGGTCTGTGATGGGTTGGGAACCCTTCCAGATTTCTCAAATGCCTTTAGGGCTTTTTTCCCATTGTCCTGGTTCTTAGCATCTAGCTGCCCCATCCCTGGCTCCTGAATTACTTGAATCAGCTCAGCTTACACCGGCTATTCACTCACAGTCTCGGGCAGGTCTGCAGCATTTGCCCACAGCTGCATTCACTCAGTCCATCAAGGAGTGGCTGCCCTGCCCCTGTGCATATCTGTGGCTCTCCTGTAACCACTGCCATCGAGACAGGCAAGACAGGCATGTAGTAACAGAGACTAACTTTTCCACCTTTTCACCAGGTGAAAACATACTTGAAATTCTGCAGGGGCACCTGTCCTTGGGTCATCTGCCCATCTGCATGTGGCACTCTTCTCAGGTTTATATGGCACCCAGCTGGCCATCAGGTTTAAGTGGCACCCTCCAAGCCTTTTGCCTTCAGACAAATGCAACATGCATTTACTACATCATCTCTAAAGCACGTTACATCATCCACCCCTAGGCTCTCCCTGTTTCTGCTGCTTTACTGTCTCAATTTTTCATGCACAACAGGTCATGCCTAGAGACACATGGTTTTCCCCAACTCACCACTGGGTTGGTCATCTTCCCTGGTGTGAGAGGCAGGAGCAGTCAGTTGCTGCATGTCGTCCTCCAGGACATTTATCCTTGCTTCCAACAATTCTGCTTTTTGCTGCAAATCTCGATCAGTTTGCAGCATAGTTAATAGCAGCAAGGCTCCAGTCAGCAGAAAAGTGAAAGGTGGCCACCAGGTACCACATGCTCAAGGATAGCCACATTTCCTCCTCTTCCAAGGGCTTTTGGCTCCTGTACCTGCTCAGAATCCTGTGGCAGACTATGCCAATTGTAGCGCTACTTTTAATCCTGTTCATGACTCCAATTGTAAAGCTACACGACAACACCAGTTGTCAGGCTCTTTTACCTGCCAGTAATCCTGCACCAACTGGGCCTATCGTCAAGCTAGGGCTGGGTATGGAGCTCACAGACCCCTCAAGCCCATTGTCCAGACTGGGTCACAAGCCCTTCATATGCCAGGCTGGGTCACCAGACCCCTTACACGCAGGTCTATGAGCTAGGTAACCGGCAAACAGGTCCTTTGAAGCCATAGGTTGGAAAGCATGGCTTCTTGTTGTGGCGGCCGCCTGAGGCAGTAAATGCCAGCCAAAGTGGTGGCGCCACCCATGCACACTAACTCCACCCACACACAACCTATTCACAAAGAATGCACCGCACCACCCCCAACCTGCCCCAAGGTGAGGGGGCCTGATTAAATTATTCTATTTTCCCAACACCTGTGCTCAAATTTCTAAAACTGAAATAACCTCGTGGATATTTCTAATCCACACCACTGCTTCAGCTGACTTGAGATGATGAAGAGAAGGACAGGAGAAAGACAGAGGTGCCAGCCAAGGCCCAGCCCCTCAATGAGCCAATCCTGGACATGGCCAACTGCCCAAGCCGACCATCAAACTCCTGGTATTGGAGACAGGAA